CACGTCCCGAGACCGGCAATGAAAGAGTTCCAGAGGATTCTCCAAGATGTTCATGATGCTGTTCAAAAATCAGTCAATAATACGGTTTTCTGCAGGCTTGCAACAATTTTGTCGCAGGCAAATATTTTTTTCATGAAGGGATTTTTTGTCAAGATTTTTATTGTGCAAGAATGTAAATTCAGTGAGACCCCGACATGTGGACACCTCGACCTGCAGACAATTTGACATAGGGACACTTATTTTGTCATAAAATTTTAATAAAAAAGGCCAGACTTGAGGACACTGGCTTGACATAGGGACATTTTGTGATAAAATTGCAAATACATTTTCAACCAAATTGCAAGAAATAGATATTTCCAACCCTAAATTGATGTAAAACAAGTTCTTGGGCATTTCTCTCACCAATTTACCATTCATTTAGCTAATGTAAAAAAAATTACCTCCAGCATAGAGGGACTTCCTTCTCTGCTCTTCTTCCCTTGAATGTTATTTTTTACAGAGAATGCCAACATTCCTATGTACTGTACAGATGAGGTATCAGTATTCAATTCCCCGAATGTCCATATTGTGTTGAAATACGTATCAGTAATCTCCCAACCAAAATGTCTCACTGTTTGTCGGTTCATTTAATGTCCTGGTATTCCTGAAAATTTAGACACTGTACCACAAATTCCCAAAACCACCATCCGCTGAGAATGTATGATGCATTTTATTCAATAGTACAAAACAGTACTCATTCCAGTACAGTACTACTGAATTCCTGACTGCTCATTGGTGGTGTTCTTGGTATTCTTGTGTTGTCATAGGTACATTCCTCATCGAGATTCGCACTGTATGCTATACAGTATTTCCTAATTCATATATGTAAAAGTATTTCAGTGCCCAAACAGTATAAAGGAGTAAAATCGCATTAAAACGAAGCTGTTGGGAAAAGGTCAAAAAAATGTCATTATAACGACAACTTTTTTACAAACTTAATTTGAATACAGTACTACTATTGCTATTGAGCTGGGACCGGACAAAATTCGTTGTAACGAATAATCAGTATTTAATTACATTCGTTGTGAAGAGATTCTTCAGTATTTCTTTCTTATTTTTGTCGCTCATTTTTTGCAATGCAAGAGGTGCTCGCGTTGAATTCAATTTTAAATAAATTTCAAATTTTAAAGAAAGCTTACGAAAAATGTTGCCAAGTGCACATGCACAATATACTGAATATTTTAAAATACTGCACTCTCTATAAAGAGCGAAAACCGTCTTGAGAATCGGCCCGATGTCTGACAACTGACGTCAACTGCATACTTCGCAATTTTCATATTTTTTAACATACCACGTCTGAGAAAGGTTGCACACCATTCATATGAGCAGAACAAGTTAAATCTCATCAATGGTACAGACATATTATATCAACTGTACGCAACGTCTGGAGTTCTAAGTTATTTTTTTTAATCCTCTCTTTTATTTTGGTCGATCTGCCGACAAGTGTCTGATTGCTATGAAAAAAAAAACATTTGAACGAGTACACAGTATCGTACAAAATATTTCGTGTTGAAGAAATTCATTCATCCGAAGTTCAGTGAACTCTTTATCGCTGTTTCCGTCTATAAAATTAATTTGTCGAACACTGATTTGCGTACACGTCTAAAAGGAATATACTCTACTGTACTAAAAAGTATTCAACAGCCGGGTATGAGAGGAGTGTGATCATTTCTCTGCTGGCTACTTGATAAAATGTCATTTAGATTTTAAAGTCACTTAGATTAGTATTGTGTAGTTTACGTGAATATGTTGATTCAATAAAGAACTTAAAAAACATTGAACGTGCCAGAACTGCTTTAAAAAAATAACGCGAATAATCAAGCCCTGTAGAGTACAAGATTTAAGAAGAAAATCTATGTTCGGAAGCAATGACATTCAGCAAACTTGTCTTCTTCTTCTTTCTTCCCTGGTGAATAATACAGGTCACGGCATCAACGAAGCCGAATTTATGGAGTGGATGGGCAAGTTGGTCATTGGTACCAGCCGAGGCCTCCCCCGTTCTCATGCCACGTCATCATCATCATCATCGTCAACATCATCACAGGGTTCAGCAGCAGCAGCAGCAGCACATCTCAGAGCCCAGGAAGATAGCGAAGATGGGGATGACGTCACACAAGACCTGGTGGCGGCTTTCACAGTGTTTGACCGCGACGGAAATGGATACATCACACGGGTTAGTCGGTGCTTTTTGTCAGAAATGATGGAAAATTATCACTAGGGGGAAATCTCGCTACAAAGAAGCCTTTAGGATCGGGGAAAAAAAGTTTCGTTAAACTGCAACAATATTTTTTTTATAAAGTACTGTAGTTCTAATACAGTACTGTAACATCGTTGCTATTATTCAAATAAATTGTACGGCAATTTCCTTTCATTAAACCTGCTTTTGTACTGAAGTGCTGTTTGTAACTTGAAAATTAAAATGAAACATAATTACATGCGGTGGAAATACTGTAATTCCTTCTAAATCAACTTTTTCATACATGCCTGTCTGTTCTTTCAAAGAGAGGAACGTTTTTTTAAATAACAAAATGTTTATTTGAAAAAAAGGCATACATACATTCTAAAATGGAGCTATAAAGAATTTACAAAAATATGTCATGCTGTGTATTTTTTCGGCACAAAGTTTTTGTCACAGAACTTCTCTGATGGAGTTAAAAAGCTGCACCTTTTAATTTCCCCCCATTTTCCTGACATTTATCAAATAATCCCTATGACCTAGGCACAGAACCAGAGACAAAATTTCATTATGAGATTGAAGCCTAAAATAAGATTTTCATAACATGCGCCTATGGAGAACATACAAGACCAGGACAAGTTCCTTATAACGAAAGATTTGTCATAACGAAAATTGTTATAACAGATTCTTACGGTATTTTTTATGGATTAAAAAGAAATGTTGAGACTTGGCAGGATTTATATGGATGTCCTATTTGTTCTTTAAGGGTACCATATTTCCATATTCCACCTGAACTGTTAAATTGACAAGTACAGTCATCGATGTGATTGATCAGGTCAGCCTATGTACCCAAATTTAGGTCAAATGGTCAATGATGGTCAGTGGTACTGAAATGAGAGTGTAGTACAATATTTTGAATACTGTATAAAAGTGTGGAGGACGATTTGTTCACGGGTACTTCGTGACAAAAAAAAAAAAAAAGAAGGGTGGCACTGAATTGAGACTTTTATGGATTTTGTTCCCAATTAAAAAGAGCTCCACCAGCAAAAAAGTTTGAAAAAACCTTTATCTCGACTGAAGTCTAGACACAGTCCCAGGCAAAAATATTCTGAGGTGAATTTCCTGATTTTTTTCATTGCAATTGCGTGTCCACGAAATTGAGAACTCTGGATTGAATTCCAAGAACAGTTTCGAATCAACTCTTTGACTGAAAATATCACTGAACACGTTTCTGATAAGAGTTCCAACAGTTTTATGCGTGATATTTTTTTATTTATTTATTGAGGGACGCTTATTGTATTTAAATTCGGATGCTTGATTGATAAAATTTTAACAGCGTCCCTGATCGACCCAGATATTCAGGACATGCATTTCCACGATTTCAGAAAATTTTAAATTAATCACAGCGAGCTTTCAAAGTCGGGGCTTTTATGGTGCTACTTTTTTTCTACGATAGGGGAGCCCTATTTTATTCTCACCGGCGCTCAGTTGGACTAGGTTTCCACAATGCATGCCTAATTCCAGAATCCAAACATGGCAGGCATTGAAAGTGCAAAAAAATATGATTGAATTATTTCGCTGAGTTAGATGGAAGTGAAAAATGCTGTCATATGAATGAAAAAGCTCATTGAACTGACGCTAAGTTATTATTGGGCGGCGCTCAGTTTTTTCCTGTGCTAGGATTAAATTTTGTTTTTTCGCTCATTCGAGCTAAATTTTCTCAAACGATGCCCAATTCCAGACAAAATGAATGAGAATATGTTTGTATGATTCAACTATACAGGAATGGGAATGTAAAAGTATATCCGCAGTAGTTTGTTGCCGGTCCGTGGGAAAAATTCTTTTTCATCATAAATTATTTCAAAGTACCAATGGTCTGCTATCTTTACTGAGAGTCTTAGAAAGATCATGGCAGTTTGAATTATCTGACCAAAATAAAAGTTGGCTTTTCTCCTATCAACACTGCAGTCAAATTTTCACCTGCTGAAATAAATTATTTCAAGTTTTCATTCTGAGGAACCTTTCTTTGAGCCCACCTTTCTAATTTTTTGAAGACATTCTACCACAGCTACTAAATTAAAAATTTTCGAACGACTGCCATGAAATCTTTCAAGCAAAACTTTGTAAATACTTGTTTGAGGCGGCAAACATGTCACAAAACTTTGCCAGTCCGCAGAAACTTTGTGGGGAATTTGCTGGTCAAAAAAAAATATGGAAATTCGCCGGTCCGCGGACCCAAAAAGGTTGGGAACACTGCCCTATATAGGCGCTCAGTTAAACTTTGGTTCTCGATCACTTGACCCTGCAAACCGACCTACCATTCGGGTGGAAAAATATCCCCTTTTTTAATTCCACCTGTACAGCCCAGTTGCATGTCCACGCGTAACTACACGGAGGCATTCAAATTATGATCATCGGCGCAAAAATGATGCCTGCATGGGGACTCCACCCTCAAGAATTTTGACCAATGTTTAAAAAAAATACAGTTGAACCTCCTTCGGTCAAAGTTCGAGGGACCAACAAAAAAAATCGAGTGAGGGTGATTTCGAGATGGGGAAACAAGCATTTTTGTTCGGGGAAAGAAAGAAAAATTTCAGAACATCGCAATTGATAATATTTTGAGCCTTATTATTGCTTCTTCAATGAGTCAACAGGATGCTGAACTCGGAGGCAAGGGTTCATCTGCCCAAAATAGTCGCTCGTTTCCTTTCAAAACACATCGTTACACAGTTTTTCTTCCCTGTGTCAATAAAATAATAGCCCAAAGGGCCTCCAGAAAAGTCGAATGATGGAGGTTTGAGAAAGGGACGCCTTTGAGTTTGAGAGGTTTTTTAATTAATGCGTTGTTTCCAACGGAATTCAGGTACGGAATGGGGGAAAAAAAAGTTTTGGCGCAGGAGGGTATTCGACTTTGGGAAGTTCCAGTTACCGAAAACTTCAACTTCTCAACAAATGCCACTTCTTCTTCTCTCCCAAACCCTTTTTTTCTCTCGATAGGATGAACTGAAGCTTGCCATGGACCTGATCGGAGAGCACATGACCGACGCCCAACTCGACCACATGCTCGAGCTTGCGGACATCGACAAAGACGGCCGAATCAATTACCAAGGTATACCCGCATCATAGCTATTAAACAAAAAAATGATTACCCCCTCCCCCCAATTACATCCAAAAATAATAATGCATACAAAGCCTAATTCATTTCTGGGTACATTCGGTTTTGCAGAGTTTTTGCGGATCCTGCTGTGATAAAAACAACCAGCACACATGAGCGCCGATTGCAGGCGCAGCTGAAAACAGCGGTGATATTCACTTTTCGGTTCATATGCTGGTCGAGTCACGCGCGGCGGATGAAAAATGGGAGAAACAAGCAAAAAAGAAATCAACATCAATTGACCATCATCATCATCATGATCGAGTCGCAGAAAATTGCGTTTGATTGTTCGCTCGCTCGCTTTTTATCATTATTTTTTTTTGTATCGCGAGCGTAAAATGTTTCGAGGTCAAATGCGGTGGCTTCTGTTTTTTCGGGAGTCATTTTTATCAAGCGGAATTTCACCCGCGATTTTCTCGCTTTTCGTTGCGTATTTAATTGCAGTCACCTCAATAAGAGCGACTCTTTTGAAGCAAAAGGAAGGCTGTGAGAGCGACTGGAAAAACGGTGTCCGGAATGGACCGCAAAGAAAAAACGACTCTGGAGAAAATGCCGCGATCAGGAAATGACATTGAAGGGACTTTTTTTTTTACTGTTTGATATTATTTTACAACCGGTTCTCCGTGCATTCAGAGCCTTTTTCAGAGTTTTCTGAGGTTTACTGCGGCTAATACAGGAAAAGGAAAGAAAACATTAAAATTTAAATTTTAAAAAAGAATTACAATGAATCAATCGTCTATATTCTTCAGAAATTCGACCCCGACGAGAATTCCAATTCAGATATTAAAAAAAGTAGGCCCAAAAAATCAATAATAATTATTATCACGCTAGTCCGTATCCGCAGATGAAGACCCGAGTTCACATAAAAATTTTTATTTCTAAAATTGCTTTAGTCAAGAACCTTTGGATAAGAGTAAATCTTATCGAAAAGGCTTCTGTGAAAAATGCACAGCATAAAAATAAAAAATTCCCCGAGTTTTCTCGATGAACTTCAAAAGGTTTTGCGACAGTCGAAGTTCTTCATTTGATGAGAATCAATCTGAAAATTACGTTCCTCCATAATCTCAACTGATGGAACTAAACCTTGTCAAGTTAAATTGAATTAATATTGAAAGACCGATTGAACTGAACTAGCCTCGGAAAATAAATTGAATATGCGATGCATCAGTTTTGCGGTGTTTTTCTTCGCGGCATTTTCTCCATGGCGATTTATGTACGTGCAGCCCTGAGAAGTATATCCGGCATTCAGACGGAACAAGATTCGAGAATGGAGTTCAGAATCCCTGGATTAAATTCGAATGCTCAACTTATTGTATACCTGTTTTCGTTCGTTTTTTATATTCCCAATCCCAATAAGTCGAAAAATATCATTTGAAACGAACATAGATGAATTTCGTATTAGTGGTTTTATATCCTAGGAACTTTCAAAACTTTTTTCCGGTCTCGGGAATTTTGCACCCAGTTAATTCGGAAGAAAAAACCAATTCGCTCTCCAGAGCGTCTTCCTTTTGTTGTTCCTTCGCTTTGTTTGAATCGCGAATGTACACTTTTGTCTTCCCAACGGATTTGAAAATAATAAAAAAACGAAATTAAATTCGATCAATTCATTTCGGATCCCAAAGCCGATCCTTTTTCACGGACAATGCGGGTGAATTACGTTCACGGAAAGCAATATTCAGGACTCACGGGGACAGCTTTTGTTCGATGCCCTTTTCTTTCCTTTTAACCGAATTCTAATTCTTTTTCACGGCATGAGAGAACGAGTTATGTAAGTATAGTACAGTATTACAGTACATTAATAAGACGCATCCAAATAGAAACGATGAGTTTTTGGTCCGGTTCAATGAACCAAAAATCATTTCGAGAAACTTTTCAAAACGTGCGAGAATTTCGGCATCAGGAAGTAATCTATGAAATACACTCCTGTGGATCGAAATCTTATCCGGAAAATAAATATTCAAGCCAACGCAGTAACAAACAAGGGGAATACTGTATGTAATTACAGCTAATATCTCGAAAAGCATGCGGATCTACAGTATAAGCGAAGTGAATCCACTCAAGCACGGCACGTAAAATGATTCATCTTCATAAACTTATTCATTTACAAAATCTGTTCGGATAAATATGAGTAATATTTGAAATTGTGAGTTCGTCCTACGCGAAAGGAATACTTTAATGTACAATCGAAGGAGGAACGGCGATAAAGCGATCATTTTGTAAAACTTTCTGAATTCATCGGTGGAAGTACCGCACAAGATGTCTCTTAAAAATATTGAAGGAAGCTTAGTTCATTTTTCATAAATCATTCATCAATTTCTTGGATTAAGAATCTTTCAAATTCTTGATTCCTTTTCAATGATGTGCCACAGGGTTTGAGCATATCTTGAGCACCGTTCACAGCGCCATTGGCGCATCTGTAATCCTTGCAATATACGAGGTCATGAGCCGGGTTTTCTGAGAAATCCGAATCAATGGGGGGCTGTGGGATGTTTCTCATCTGATACTCTTCCGCAGCTGTGACCTCTGCGAGTAATTTTAAAATAAACTCGTGCGACTGCGATCAATCACGCTGATGCCAGACGCGCCTTTCAGTGGGGGTTTCTATCTTAATGGCGACGAACCGGGGGTATACGGAGGTCTAGCAAATATTTGTCCGTGAGCCCGTTTCCACACCATTGTTACCGCAGACCTCTCATGGACGTTTGGAGAAGGGAAAAAGAGAAGAGAATAAGATGCAAGTACTGTATAGTGAATAGTATTCACTCACTCACTCAACTCGTCGAGGCGTCATTTCAAAACGAGGAAGGCGAGATTTTCCTCTCGAAAGCGACAGGGATGCATTCCAGGAATTCAAGAAGTTCGCGGACTGCATATTGGCGGGCGACTCGTCATCGCCGCGCAGCGAAGGCATCCAAAATGGAAAGGGGTTGCCTAATTCGAAGAACCTCAGGCTTCCGATATACTGTAGTGGTCTCCAATGCTGTTTTCAGGGCGGCTCTTTTCTGGATACCCTTCATAATCAGACTTGGTCTTCGTGCCTATAAACATTTCAATAACTTAACGAAGACACCCGTTTTATCGCTCCCTGAGGATAAGCCCCCAAAGAAAAAGGACCCAGTCGGGGTGGACAAGGGACTCACGACAAAAAAGTCGGTTATTTTATGCTGTTCCATGGATTAAGAAAATTAATTGAACGCGTAAACATTAAATTCAAGAATTCAAGGGAGAGAATCAACATTTCAAGATTACATTACCGAAAGAATTCCTGAAGAAAAAAAAAACGAGAAAATCTTTAGAAAATGAAGTTCAACACCTAGCAAACGAGCTGAACAGCTTCTTCCGAATCGGAACTAAGATCTTCGGTCAATCTTTCTGAATAAATTGGAATTTGAGACCAAATTTGAGTTCGTGATTAAGAAAAAAGTTAGCCATCCATACTGCTAGTGATTTCGATTTGTGGCGCCGGAATTTTTCTTTTATTTCCGGAAATTCCTAGAGCAAATGTACTTCATTGCATCATTGTTCCATCCCACATATGATTTTCTTTCAATACTAGATTATTCGGGATACATTATAATTATTCAGGAATATCAACAGTCATCAGCCTCGAAAGATCGGGAGCTTTACTTGACACGGTAACCCTCTCGTTTGAAATGCAAGTGCTACTGCAGTAGTACTTGATGTTGCTCAAAATGAATTTGAAGCTTCAGGAAAACTACTAAATTTAAACCCCTTCAATACCATTATAAAAAATAAAATTCAAATAAAAACTTGAAAAAATACCAAACAAAATTAGAGCCGACATTTATCAAAGCAACCGAAACAGTTACACCAACCAAGTCGCAAGTGTCCATCCCATCACAAAACCGAGATCGCGGAATCACTAAAGCAGAAACTGACAAGAATTTTTCAAGAACAGCGCCGGAAGGAACCGCACGACTCACTCGAGTTTCTCCCGCATCATCGCTTTCAATTTCTCTGTTTCTACCGCGAGAAATTCCTTGTCTTTCCTATGGATCACTATTATCAAATAAATGCACGCGCATCCCGTAATGATCACTGTTCCAAGGACAACGATGAGCCACAAGGAAACATCTCCGACAGGAACCATCGCAGTTATAATACCCGAATTCTGTGAAATAAAAAGTAATTTAGTTGAAAACGGAACATGAGTGGATACTGGCAAATAATATCCTACCGTTTTGTACTTCAACCCGAGCCACGTGCAAAAAGAAGAGTTCCTCGCATCACAAGGCGCTTTAATGCTTAGGCGCATGCAGGCCCTGTCGAGCTCCATGTTATCACACAAGAGCAGCATTCTTGGTGCAGGGAAGGACACCTTGGCCTAAAATCAGAATCATTTAGATAATGTCAAAGTTACTTAGTCTAAGCCCGGGGAAAAATCGAGTGAACATTTCCAACACCAAGGTATCATACATAACGTATTTGCGCGAATATAGAAGCACACCTTTCTTCCCATTTTAGAAGCTCAAAAACTAAGGGGGTGTTTTTATTCGCATCTTATTCCAATTGCCGAGCCATGCGAGCTATCAAAATAAAACTAGAATACTTCGTCTTTGGAAATAAGATTTAAACGTTAATATGTACAGTATTACATGATCAATATTCTAGTAATACGACACTGAAGTGCAAAATGTAGATGAGGAATGCCGTGAATATGTTGCAGGTGGCCTCTGAAATCATCAATCTTCTTCTGGACAAAACATACATTTCGTCAGAAATTTAACTGGAAAGTCAGAACACATGAAAGTAAGAGGCTGGTCTGCTGTATTCGCAAATTAATGGTATTTTAATTTTTTGCATGAAAACATCTAGGCATTCTAGGGGGTGCTTAGATTCGAGGAGCGCCTATACTTTACAGGTATTCTCGAGAATTCGGTATACAATACAATAAACTTGGCACAGGAGCAGAAATTTTTATGCTGTTCTTAATACGCGATCAACGACTGAAGAGTGATTGGCCATCATGTACATGTAGTAATTACAGGACTGACCTTTGAAATTTGGACTGGTCATGAAACAGCAAAATTGCGATACAGCAGTTGGCATAAAACAAAATGTTGTCGAAAAACGAATTCGACGAAGTACAGTACAGTACTGCAATTGCTGTGCCAAAACTTCCTTGCAGCACCTCACACGTCACGTACTGTATTCTACTGTATTGTACAGCAATTAAAACTGCCTGTATCTTGTCACTTCAGGTAGATGTCGACACAATCAAAATGCCATATCCGCGACATGCTGTACAGGTACAGTATATAGACTGGTCCAGATTAGATTCGATCCGCTAAGAATGAACTCGGGCTGAATGAAAGAGATTTTAGATTACGTAGAATATGATTACAGTTTTCAGACCCTGTTACGTTTTGTGAAGTGGTTTAGATAATAGAATAGTCAAAAGTTCTGCTTAAAAATTATGACAGTGATCCCCCTTCTTGACTCAAGATCAAACGCCCTGGAGTGACGTCAAGCAAGTACGAGGGACGGTCAGAGTACTTTTCATCTACTGGGTTCCCTCATCTTCGGACGGTAAATATTTCTTTTCATTTAAATGAATTATATCTGCTAAACGAACCCAAATGAAAACGTTCAAAATATTGGACCAAGAGCCTTCCCATACCTCCAATGCCTCGACGCTCCCATCAACGGCTGCATGATACCTCAAATGGACGGGAAATCTAAGTTGCGCCTTGAGAAGATTTTCTGACGTGCTCAAGGGGCAAAATGCGAGCAATTTGTGTGGCTCAGCTGCACTTTCAGGAATCTCCACATCCACGGCGCCTACAGTAAAAAGTTTCAATGCGCATGATACATTTCAAAAATTTGAGTATTTTACCATAATCCTTCAATAATCACGCAGAAAAAGTATCTTACCTTTAATCAAGAAGGTGTTGCGCGACAAAGGAGCGTCTTGCAAGTCAGCGATCTCGTCGGGATCCACATACGCACCTTTCGGGATAGTGTGTATCAAGAGAACCGTGCAAGCATCAGATGACGTCCACCCAGTTGCCATCAATTCGATGTTCACTTCCATGTCTCTGAAAAATTGTACAGCGACATGATTGAAAATCAATAAGTGCGCTGTTTTCGAATTTTATAGCTGCCCTTACAAAATTTTGAACCAACACACAATCACATCCGATCTAAAATCATTCAACACGGATCTATCCCAACATAACGTAACACCTCACAAGCCTATCCAAACAACTAACCAATCTAACCTATCAGCGAACAGTTCACTAATCTAACCTCAGCCAACACCAACTTACCCCGAAGTAGAAATGATCGTAAGTCAACATTTAAACGAAATATTTCCTCAGCTAAACACATGTAACATGATCTACCACCTAATCTAATCGAACAGCAGATTGTCCGACGATACCGCATTTTTTCAGGCCACTTTCACGATTTTGTTCAACTATAACTGATGGGCAATTGTATAATGCAAGAACCTTGAAAAGATTGGCCCTACGATGATCAGCTAACTTACGCATGGAAGCCATTTTGCGACAGTCTCCTCCAAATACTAGGATGAGTGTCTCCCTGAAATGAGCACACCTGATCTTGACTGCCACTGACAGTCGATAAGAGGACAAATAGCGCGCAAACAACCCGTCGCTCCATTTTGTAAGAACATCGAATACAAAAGACGCGAGCGCTCTTCTATACGAGAGCCACCGGATTTTTCAACCTCAGCGGCATATCCTGAAACGACATAAAATTTATATATAACATTCCCTTTCTATGTCAAACAAAAAATTGGGAAAGTGGGAAGACCACGAAGCGAAATGCGCACTTCTCGCAACTACGAAATTTTACACCAATGACCAGAGGAAGACCAAAATATTTCATTCGGAATCATTCGTTTCAAATACTGTATAACGGAATCCTCAAGAATCATCAACAGTCTTCAGGTCATTAATGCCAAATTCTCTCAGAACATCCTTTAGAATCGATGATCAGAAATATCGAAATCTCTTTTTCCGATTTGCTTCGAATCCCACAAAGAACAAATCATGAAAAAATTGCAGCGCTCATGAAGTTCGAACGCACGGATTTTTCAAGAAAATTCAGACTCGACATCCTTATCGCTCCGAACTCAGAATCAAAAATTCGCAGAAAACAATTCGTTTCGAAAAAAAAAATAACATCGTATATGAAAAAAATCGCTTTCCGGTAAGCCCTAAAACCAATTTTTCCGATTGTCCGGAAGAAGATCAATAGTCACACTTCAAAATCACTGCACATCAGCATCACAGCGATTTTGTTTTCAGAACTCCAGCGCAAAATCAATCAATTTTCGCAGATACAAGTTCGCACAACAAAAAAATCACGAAAAAGATACACCGTGAACAAACCTCGACGTCAATGCTGCAGATTCTCCAGGAAACGATCACAAATCTAGAAATCTTTCGCGATCAAAGCTATCATCAGCGGACATCGCAGAAAAAAATTAAAGAATTTACACAGACAAAAGTTCTCTGCAAGCGCCTCGAATATGCAAAATCAAAATTTACACATCTTCAAGATGAACAATTCCGATTTCTCCGAATTATCACGAGTCTGGACATCCTTCAGAATCACTGCTTAGCATTATCAGCGGAATTTCGTCCTCTACACTCTCACGTTTCCAAAATCTCGATTTCTCCACAGCCTTACCCAAAGCAATTCCGATGTGCAGGGCCAGGGGAGGCGGAACCGCGTTTCCGATCTGCCGGTAACGATCATCAGTACTACCATAAAGCCCGTAATCATCTGAAAATCCTTGAGCTCTCGCACATTCTCGTATGCTCAAAATGCGATCCTGTTCGTAATGCAACACAGTTCCTGACTTCCGCATCGGATCCGGCAGCGTTAAAACAGTCGGGAAAAATCCGTTTTTCTGTACCCTCCCGAAACAACCGGCCCAATTCCCGTTGTGTCTCGCGGTGTGCACCATAGAGAATGGAATCAATGTATCCTTTTGAACATCGTCAAGATTGCACACACGTCCTTCAGCACAACGACAAACCGCACCTTTCCCATCGTCATCTTTATAGGGGTAACGCAACTTTCCTAAGTTCAAATTTGCGGAGACGTAACGAATGTTCGGCAAGTTTCGCCAATCTGCACCAGGATGATACGGAATATGCGATATTCTCACTTGAGCCAAATTACCCAAAGTCCGACAAACGACGTCGCTCACAAATTGTCTCCCTTTCCCGCGAGCTAACCATTGGAAATATGATTGCGGAGAGCTGGATTTGTAACGCATCATTTTATCCCTGCCACTGTTTTCGATTTCCGGGAGGTCACCGATGGCTTCAAACACCGTAACGTGTTTGAATGGTGCGGACAAATCTTTCGGGTTGTCACGAATCCAACCTACGTCTGGCGCGTATACTCGTCCACTTTTTTTCACGTTTCCAGATCCGGCTTTGGTGCTGAAAGGTGTGACAGACTTGGGCCATTCCGGAAGCCTTTGTCCTGGCGCAGCCGCTATCACGAACAAACGTTGCCTTGACTGCGGGAGACCATAGCGACCAGCTTGGAGAACAGCGAAGCGACACTGGTAACCCATGTCTACTAAGGCTTTCAGCATAAGCTGCAACATTCTACCCTGAGGGAGAATCGCATTGATCGGTATTAGTCTCACATGGCAATATAACAGTTCTTATGCGGCTTTACAATACGTACAGGAAGGAGTTGAACAGCAGAAGAATTTTGAAAAGTACATTTCTGCATGCATTACTCCAAGTGATTTTGAAATAGAATACTGTATCCTTAAAATTTTCAAAAACAGTGATAGATCCTTTAATTCAAAAACGAAAATAGCGCTGCCTGATCGACTGCCTGCAAAGTCATTACAGTACTGTGCAAAGCATCCTGTTGAACTGCATGCTGGTCTGATACAGTAGTCTAAAATATGAATAAGACTCGGAAATGGCGTTTTTCCCTCAATAATCTTACAATTCTCAGGTTCCTTTCAGATCCAAGTAGCACTTTTATTTTAACAAAACTTACCCTCAAAAGACCTTCAGTTCAGAAAATTGGTCCGTTAAGAATTTAATTGCATGGTACGCTTATACAGTACATTATTTTCTGACAAACTGAAATGTACAGGTAAAATACTCAAAACAAAGAAGAATAATATCACGAACAGTTGCATTATTTTATAGCACTCTAGATAATTTCATGGTCATTCGAGCTATACGGGTTGAAACGGATAGTTTTTTCCCACTTGAAAAGCCCCTCATTACCTCGCAAAATCTATAATCGCTGAAACTATCTCCTGGGCTCAAAGGGGAAGTTCGGGGTAGAAAATTTAATAATCATAGTTCTTGAAATTTTGCGGTTATAAAATCAAAACCAAAATGCTTGCATTCATTATGTGTTCACACGAAATCCCAGCCGAGGGGCTTTAAGAATTATATCCAGACCAGTCGCACTTTCGGGGAAAGAAGGGATCCACCACTGAAGATTTTAATTTCGTGCGTGTTCACTCCTACCTTTTCGTTTTTAATGAACGAAGACAATGTATTCAACAGAAACATGGATAATTCTACCTGAAACAGTTTGGAAGAAACTCGAAGATGGGTACAGTACTTCCAACACTAAGCGGCCATTAAATCACCCAACTTACTTTGTTCAGAACAGCCAAATTCTTCACATTCTCCATGATGGCGAAGCGGGGTCTGTAGTAATCAATACAGCCAAGAAAAGTAGCAATAAGGGAATTCTGGAATACTGCAGCGCTTCCCTGTCGATGACGATTCAATCCAGAAAACCCTTGGCACGGTGGTCCGCCAACAATCATCTCTACAGTGCCCTTTTTGGGCGGCAAAATGTCACCCGGATATGATCGCAGGCTAGTTATATCCGATTGACTGCAAGTTCCTGGCCTGAGAGCAACAGCTGCGAAGTCATTCGCATCCATAACAAACATTTGAGCATTAGGGTTGTTCATCTGGAAGGTTCGGGCAACAACGGGATTTTGCTCGACTGCCCACAACACATCTGCTATACCGGATTTTTTCAAGCCTTCAGATAATCCCCCGATTCCACAGAACAAATCCATAGTTTTCAGGGGCGCTGGAGAGACGATTCCTTGTGGAACTTTCGGAAACTGCTTCAACACATCAGGGGGTAAATCGAGGACTTCGTGATCTGTTCCAACCATTCCGACCAGTACGAACTTCATATGATTGAACAGCTCAGGGGGAAGTTTAGGGGCATTTTCCAAATCGGGCGCACAAAACACGTCACACGCACAAACAACCTCATTTCCGTTGATATTCGTATGCTCTTCCGACCAGAAGAGAGCGTTTGGCACTGGAAACTGGCTGAAACTTTCGAAAACATTTTCTGCGCGATATAGTTTCCGCACAGACAAAGAAATAGCACCGTCCAGTGAAGTCCACATCTTCTCGATACGACCGATCCGGAAAGTGCTGGGCATGGCTCCATAGTGTCCCTTCCCCATGTAGTGCTTCGTTTTTCTATGACTTTCAGGAAACATTTTGGATTTCTGAAATCGCGTGTTTTGCGACTGCGTAACTTCCGTGGAAGCCTCCTGCATTGGATAGGCAGTTCCCTTCACAAAAATTACGTCTCCAAGGCGCACAGAAATTCCATTAACATGAAGAACTTGTCTGTCCTCATCGAAACTGATCCGGTTTTGAAATATAGAACGGCAAATACGACCAGGACAATTCTTCACGACGGGAGATGGCGTGCCGATTTCTTCATTAACGTAAAAAGTGCCATCAGTCAAATCCAAAGTCAATCTCCAGAAGTAATCTGAGTTCCCAAGACGATTCACGTCTGGAATCACAGCACCTCCTTCATCGTGCCAATCAATATCATGCGGTCGGTAGTGCACAGTAAGTACTTCAGACGCGTCTGATGCTTTCATTTCAACGCATTCCAATGACGCGAACAGCTGCTTCGGATGGATCGAGTTTCTGATGAACGTCTGCTGAGGTTGCAGAAAAAGCAGCCCATGAATCGTCGGCTCGGAATTACATTTTTCGAATCGGACAATCTTCAAAATGTATCTAGGATTACTTCCGTCAACTTTGAACGAAACGAAATCTCCAACACGGACCATTCCTAGAGTCGATATATGGCACGAGGAAAAAGCTACGACACCGTTTTCCAACTTGATCGGTTCGCCATCCAGCATAGCTACCCGCTTCAATGGTAGAACATCGAAGACCTTCATTCGAGCTTCCCCTTCAGTTTCCTCGCTTTCTGGAGCAGTTAATAATCCCATTGAATCACTGCAAACGTAAACATTTAAGAGGTGAACAAGTGAAGTGGATCAGAAAAATTCAGCAAACGAAATAGGCCCTTCTGCCACCAAGAGCAGCTCATTTACGCGAATGTAGTACTGTACAAGATACGGTAGCATTTATGTGTGAGAATAAATTCAAAATGCCAGTTCCTTGAACTTGAAAACATTTTGTGAGCATGCCTTCAGCATAAAAATTTATTACTGAATTTCTTCCAAGTTATATGCTATTGTCACGAGCCTCAATACACCAAAAACTGGCTCGTGTAGATGGAATCAAAACACTAGCCAATTTCAAGAACAGAACTACAGTACACATTAAATACTGTACACATTAAATACAATGCGTTGAAAATACGAACTGCATAATAAGGCACACTTTAATCTTATTGGAAATCAACCACGGAAGATAAACCATTTACCACAATACCACATAGCGGACATACTCGGAAGTGAAGATATGCCAAATGTCGAAAACTGACACTTCAAACCTCGAAGAGTGAGTTTTCGGATATACAGTAGTACCCATACTTTAGATCCTTCTTCTGTTGTACAAAAATAAGAAATGACTTGAGGTATTGTCCATTAGAATGAGAACGCTCTTCCAAACCACTTGATAACGTAGCTTCTTGCATGCAAATCTAAGGCAAATCGCCACCCGCGTACTTAATTTCTTTGGGCGTCAAGATTTGGAACAAATCAGCATTACTTTTAAGTGAATCCGGGGATTAGCAGAAAAAAGTGGCACAGAAGGCTTCATGATCTTACAAGGAGTTCACAAGAGATGCGGCTCCGCCCACGAAACTTGATGAGAATTCTTCTCGGAAAACCTTCGCAACCAATGGAGTGGACTGAGACTTGGTTCGGGTCGAATATCCAGGTTTCTTCGGACGCACAGACTTTTCATAGCCCTTTCGACCGCCATCGCGGAAAATCTGCTCGACCGCCGGTGATGGAGGCACACTCAAATCACCAGTATTGCCGCCGTCGACGTCGTCGTCGTCGTCGACTTCAATCAAGTCAGCCAGAAATTTCGAATGCAGTTTCAACAAATGCCCTGCGTCAGCTTGATTTAATTCCTTCACGAGCTCCTGGTAAGTAATGCCATCAACGTCGGCATCTTCACGAACCTCCGGAACTTTTCTCAACGTTGTCACCACCAGGAACAAAAATTCAGCCTTTTTCAGGAGTCCTTCTATCATTTCAGCATATCTTGCATTAGGTGCGAGAAGCTGGTACACTCCTCTCTCGGTAGAGACTGATATCAAGGGATCTGTGGTGCCGGGTTTCCCGGAGATTCGCCATTCCAGTATTGGTCCAACTGAGTGAACTTTCTCGAAATCAGACGAGGCATTTCCAGATTCTCGAACTTCTCCAGCAAGGAAAAGTTCGCAAGAATCAAACTTCTTTTCCAGCGACAGCATGTGACGATTCTCATCATAAAACAGGTAATTTTGAAAGTCGAAAGTTTCTATAGTCCTGAGATTATTCCCGGATGAGCGAGATCGCAACATTTCCTTTTCGATCGAATTTTTTGGAAGGAAAACATCGCAAGGCACTTTTAATGGGTTTCGAAGCTTGCACAGCCTGCATTTACCATCCTGTAAAAGTGAGAAAATCTCGTGAACATCCCACCTCATATTAAAATTCGAGGGACGGTTTGAAGTTTTCGTCCATAATGTGCAACAAAACAAAGTTCTTTATGCGCTCTTGTTTCTCATTCAGAATGCGCCACTTCAAAACAATCCTAAAAAACCTTCAAGCAAGCTTTAGGTTTTCCTCAATTGCAGCCATGCATCGGATTATTTATGTTCTTGCCAATTTATATCATAAAGCAACCTATTCAGCAGCACCAACACGAAAAAAATGACTAACTAAGAATGCTTTTACATTGAAACATGGTCGTAAGATCAGAGATATAGTGACTGAAAGAGTTTTTTCATTTTCTTGAAATATTTGGAAGGACTCAGAAAATTTGAGAATTCATAGAATAATTCTTAAGAGTCTCACAGAAAGAGGATGAACTTATTCGCCTTCCGAAATTTCAACTTCGGTGAACAAAATTTGGAAGAGGTCAGGACACTTTGTAGAGTGCTCTCAACAAATGAAGTCCACCTACGTAAATTTAACAAGGTAAGCACAAAACTGACAAAAAATTTGAATGAAGCCTCACAGACACACCTGCAAATCGGATCGCAGAACGACTTTGAAGTCGCTTTCCTTTCTTCCCAAAACGGCACAGTAGAAATCCTCTTGCTCAAAGGCCGAGAACATTTCTGGATAATGCGGCAAAATCACATTCATGTCAGCTATTTCTCCGATTCCGTTCAAGTCCGTTGTATGCGAATTTTCTCGTGGATATGAGATATCGCGGCAGCTCGAATTATCGCTATCCGATGATGAGGCATTGGAAGAGCTGTAGTTTTCGAAAGACGAAGCGTCTTCCGACAGCTCCGAATCATCAGAAAGTATCACTATCTCATCGTCGGAGTCGGCCATTAACATCTGACGAAATCCAGTAATGCGGAGTCAAAAACGATATTCACCAATATGAAGTGAAGGGATTTCTGTCAACTTCAGTCACGGCTGGTTTCTTGATGCAAGCCTTAAAAAGTGAATGAATAAATTAAAGTTTCGCGCAGGACTCAAAATTCAAATGAAATCTTCACGAGCAACTTCCCATCAAAACTTGAGAGGGGAGGTCAAAAGTCTCGCAATAAATCATAAAGATGCTGCAAACTTTGACAGAACACTACCATACTTTAAAAAACAGAGAAAAGGTTTTCTCCATGCCAAATTACGATGTTTGTTGAAAATCAGAACACGCCAGAAAAATTCATGAACAACGGTTCAAAGTGAGAAACGAATAGGATAAAACGAACTAAAAAGTCTGCAATGCTTATTCTGTCCTCCATTCACTCAAAAGCTTTCTGGGAATTACTACGATCTCCTTCACTTCTTGATGCAGCAGACACACAGCGAACGCGAAATGAAGAGGACGCAAATTCTCGGTGAAATGAGATCAGATATTTAAAAAAACCCGGGTAATAAATTACCCACGAGAAATAAAAATAAAAATGCATCCCACAGCGACTATCCAGAGCAGCCTTAGAAATCAGTAGATACCAAGAAAAAAAAAACACACACACACAAAAATCGCCACTCATCACACGCAGATTGGCGTACAATCCCGACAATGATTCGAATTTCACTTCCGTGAATCAAGTGCTTTGCAAACCGGACAAATAAATTTGACTTGCTCTAACTCTTCCGCACTCTTCTCCAAGTTCAGACAAAAATTGTGGTACCACTTGTTGCAACCGTCGACATCGCACTGGATCCATTCCACCTTATCTTGATTGTAGTTCGGATCTACATTAATTTTCAAACGGGAGAACAAAATTAAGTCGGCGAAAATTACTGCAAATTTTATGACAGATGAACCACAGAAAAGTCAATTTTGACAGGGCAAGAAAATATCATTGGATTAAATAAATGGATTAAGGAGAGATTAAAAGATTATTATTTTAAAAGTAAGAGACATTTTCCATTACCGTCAGGAAGGGTACAGCCGTTCGGAATTTGGCATCGTTCTTCTTCGTCTTCCTCATGACCTATAAAAGGAATATCGGAGTATTTTGAGTGAAACAAGAATTCTTCGGTGCACAAATGAGACATTCAAATGGCATTTGCATTTGAAATACGAACCAGATTGAATTTCGACGGAATTGTTCGATTTAGACTTGAAAGATTTTTTAGTTCCTTTCTCTGGGCGTTTCGCTAAATCACTGTCGGATTTTGTCGGCAGAGAATTACGAGATCCCACAGAAGATCGCCTCGCTGTTCTAGATTCAGAAGAAGTTCGAAGGCTTTTCGCTTTAGGCTTCAGAGTTCCTCTTGGGCGACCTGGACCAGGATTGACCGATCTCGCACGCTTTGCAAGAGGACCGGTTTGGATTTCGGAATCACAATCCTGGGAAATACGTAAATAGGTAAAACTCTCGACAGCAGAAGGCTATGCAGAGGTTTAAGAATATAATAAAAGCCCAATAATGAGTATACAAAGATTTCCGACTAAGAATTTCGGGAAAAACCTCTTCCGAAGCAAACTGAAAAAACAGCTTCCTCACAGTTTGAGGAGCGAGAAAAATCATTTTCGCCCATTGAAGTACTTTTTACAATGCAAGGAATCGCCCAAAAACGTGAAAAACATCGAAAATGTCTTTCACAATTAAAACATATAAGGAACACAAATGGGTGAAATATTGTTCATTATTTACGAACCATTCTTGATTTCATTGGACTCCGAAGCGATTTACTCGATGATGATCCGGGAAGTTCACAATCCTCTTCATCGCCTGCACATATGACACAGATTCACATAACCTCATAAAAAATTATTCCGTGAAATTAACCTACTTCCGATTTCCATCCCAGGATCTGAACGGCTGCGACTGGATTCCCCTTGATGAACAACCTCACACACATCATCATCTTCTTCCATATCCTGAATACATGCAATTGATGAATTTACAGATTCAAAACTAAAAAATCTCTCGTGACTTACTTCATGCACAGTTCGTCCATTTTGAAGATTTGGAGGGCGTAACTGCATCAGAAGTTCCCAGATTTCACTCTTCTCCGGCAACGAGGCTTCAATGAGCAATCCCTCGAAAAACAGCCACTCAAGACATTGCCACAGCCGGCGGATTTCTTCTTGGGAATCCGAAATCAAATCATTTTGAGGCATGGAGTTAGCTTCTGAAAAACCGTCTTGAATCGGCAAAACATCGATACTTATGTCGGCAATGAAGTCGGATTCCTGTCGGCAAAAATTTGGAAATGACAAGAATTACATTTATTCGGTACAAAGCCAGTACTTCTTCTGTAGCAGTTTCATGTTTTAAGAAATCACGTTAGACAAAAAACTGTGACACAGGGCCGACTAACATCGCGAAGTCTCCGAAAATTATCCCACGGTGAACTTATGTCTTCGAGTAAAATAAGGAAAAAAAAAATTCGTCGCTTAAATCAAAATGCAAGAGAAACACGTACCAGGGGATTTAAGTTTGCTATTCCCTCACTCGGAGCAAAAATTGGTTCTTCGAGATTTGCAGCAGGCAAAGACCCAATATGCGAATCCGGTAATCCAACCAATTCCACTGAAACAAAATGGTACGATTACAGTGTTGAGCATAAAAAGACCAAGACGAATGAACACAATAATGTACCACTGTTCGCCGTATTGTCTGGAACGCTGAAGTCTAGACTTCGCATACAGGAAGTAGCAGCATTCTTGTCTGAGTGAGCAACGTTCGAAGAATCAGAAACAACGCCAGTTTCACCTGAAGCAGAAACGTCTTCTTTACTCGGTTAGATCGATTCAATTGAAATAGTTTCTTCGGTGAAAATGTTCGCATAACACTGAAATTGTGACGGTGCTGCTGATTTATTCGACTTTAAGCTTGCGTCGTTGTCGTCTTGTTCGATGGACGTTATTTTCTGGAATAATATTTGGACATTTTGTACCCAGTTTTTCAATTATTTAGCACCACATTTGAAGAAAGAAAAAGACAGCTGAAAGCGCACCCAATGAGGCATGCGGCATTTCGCATGAGGCATTTCGGTTTACTGAAGCACCATTCAGTGGTTTTTTTTTTCAACATAAATCTTCAAGCATTCCCAGCAGTATCACAGATTTTGAAGAATTTCATCAATAGTTTTCCATAAAACTTACCGCTGCTGCTCTGGCCTTCCGCAGGACACATTTGGGTTTGAAGGGGCTCCTTGGCCTGAACAAAAAAAAAAGGTATGTGAATAATAGAATAAAATGAACATATGATGGAATAGAAGCTCACATAATCCGGTATGTCCATGTATTTCCAAATCTGTTCATAGTGCTCCAAGCAGTTGGCAGCTTTCGTCTATAATTAACAATAAATTCATTAAAAACTAAGTGATTCAAGTCATGATAAATGAAATAAAACTGTACCTTCCAATCTGCCACACGACACGCAAAGCGCTGGAACGCGTCGGCTTCCATCGACCGGAAGCGACATTCCTTCAACTGATTGAATGTTTTCTCAATTATCTTCCACGGAGGCCTTTCGGATTTCTGGCATTTGAAACACAAGAACCAATCTTCGTGTTTAGCTCTATCTGACCGTCGATTCCACGGTGCGGCCAGAACACATTTTTCTGCAATAATGGCATCGAAATGGCATTAACTTTTCCATCAAGAGTTCAAGACTAAAAAAATCAATGCATTTCTTACCGTGATATACAGTGCGGCAGAGTTCACAAACTAGCAATGCTCGCGCATTATCTCCTGTTTCTTCACAAATGCACTCTGGGAGATTTTTCGCCATGTTTTCGATTCGCATTGCGAACATTTCCTGAACTTCCGTCTTGACTGCTTCCTATAACGTCAGAATAGTAAATATATGTCTTGAATATCACACGAATCATGATCGACGAAACGACTCACATTATAAGCTTCAGTTAATGGAAGGCGATTCTTCCAAAATGATTTTGGAATTCCACATTCATTCACGACGGTTTCTTTCGATTTATGCTTTCTCGATTTCATGTGATCCTCGCGGAATTCTTTCAATTTTGCTGACGGCAGGACTGCCTAAAATTTGGAAGTATAATATTTTTAACTGCATACGCGACAGGAAAACAAATCTGCGAGACTACCTGCAATAATGACAAACGCATTTTTGGGCCAACAACTTTGGTAGCAAATGTGATCCACTCTTTGGCTCCTTTCACTCCTTCAAGTATGTTTGACAAATGAGGAACATCGACATCTGAACGGGATAATTCGTTCAGAATCGGCTCCACGTCTTCAATCAAAGGAACTTGTTCTTGTCCCTGCTGCAATTGGAGTCAATGATCGAATTTTCGAATAATTAAATTTCAACAGTTCAAGAATGTCCCTGAATAGCAATTCACTTCAGTACAATACACATATAATTATCCTTGGCTCCTTCAATCGGGAATTCGGTTGACCGCGCTAAAAACTCTGGATTCGAATGCAATATCCTTCAGCTAAAATCACTGGACGCATCACGATGACCAATATATAAATTTGCGTTAATTTTCAAAGCATCGTTACTATAAATACTCATGAGAAACGTAAATCTCTTCAAGAATACATAATTTCTAAAACTATATCTCATGTTTCCACAGTATACGTTATTTGTATTTTCAAGTTTTCGACAGAAGGCACTTATCGGTCATCAGCTTTGAAAATCTAAGTTCCACTGCGATATTTTTTCGGAAAAGCTTGCTTCAAACTCATTCAGAACATTAACTTTGATTTGAATTTTTGACAACAGCATTCAAGCAGTCTTCGTTTCAATTTTTCAAGTCACACAAAATTGAACTTTAAAAAATAAAGCCCATGAAACAGGAAGACCTGCTATGTTCAGATCCCGGCATGGAAACGAAAAAAGCTCACCAAGATCACAGTTAGCTGGCGCATCCAATCAATGCATTTTATGTGCATGGCCCGCAAACTATCATAATTCGTAGGATGCAATGGAGTTTGCTTAACATCTTTTATCCAGTTGTCCAGCTCCGGGAAAGGAATCTTTGGTCTGCAAGACACCGAAAAGATTTGGAAAAGGACTTACGAACGAATAATTTTGAAGGAAAAAACGGCTGAAGTTCAGAAATTGCGGCTCAAAATTGCAGAAATGATATAACACGAAAAATTAAATGATAGAATAATGAACTCTCACGCAAGTTGAAGCAAACTGTCGCCTCTTTGTCCATTCATAGCTTGAAGTTCGAGCATCGCCAGAAGTTCAGCATAACATGTTGACGCGTCGGCTTCCGTATTGTCGTCATCATAATCTTCCAATAACTTCTTCACTTGAGAAAGCATCAGAGATCCCGGCTGCTGGCTCAGATTTTTCACATCCATGCACCACTTCTTCCATTCGTATACCTAAAGACGTCCCGAATCGAAGAAGAACTTGCTATCCAAAAAATATTCTCGATCGACTTACCGTCACGACCTTGCGAAAATCCGGAATTTCAATGTAGACCGAACGAGATCTTTCAATGATGTCTTCGATTTTTTCCAAAGAAAACGCTTTTGTTCGGATGATTTCTTGAGTATCATGAGTCAACGCCACAGCTCGTGCCAACATGTCCTTCAAAAGATCGTATTCATCTATCTTGACCGGAAAATTTTCCAGAATCGCCAAAAGCTTGCGGAAGTCATTCAATGGAACTAAAACAGATTCAGTCGATTTCGTTTTCATATTGTCCGGAACGTCTTGGACGAAAGATCGCAATTCCAATTTGCATGGCTTGTTATCATGGGGATGAAATTCCTTGCAAACACTGAGAGGCATTTTTCCCGCTGACATGGGATCCGGGGGCAACAAGTTTCCGTCGGCATCGAAAGGATTTCTAAATCGATAAATGAATTCTTCGTTAGATCAGAATGCTGTAACTGACAAGATACTACTGTAGTACAGCATTTTTTCTTCGTCGTCCTCAATGTTTCCCTTACCTTTGGTAAAAATTAGCTTGTAGTATAGCACATAGCTCACCGAATAGATATGAATGACATTTATGTCATGAAAGCAGTTCAGAAAAAATGCATTCCTTTCAATTTGAGCATTCATAATGACTGATGTACGTCACATGGATCTACCTCTATAAACTTTTTATATGAGTTTGTTCGGAGGCGCATCTTTTATTTACTTTTTCTCATTCTGTTCTGATCATTCATCTACATGATGGTACTGTACTGTACTATGTTCAACATTCGATCAACGTAGGAACGATCTACATTTATCGCCGAAGCTTCTTCTCCAACACTAGATATTGAGTCCGGGTATCTTAGCAACATCTTCGGCTCTGCTGGAGCAGAATAACGACCTTCTATATTTTGCGAACTCAAACAAATCGAAAACTATTCGTAATGCACTCACTCGTATATGCTATCTAAACGAAGAATTCTCCGCGCTGCTCGGGAAAACTTCTCACACTGATGCAATGTCAGCGAAAGTCCTTCCCAAATTTTGGAGGATTTCAGCTCATTGACCTTTCCCTGTAGCAAACACGTTCGCAGCTCATCCATCGCTGAAAAAAATTAACGTCGGACAATCAGCCAGAAGTCAGAGTCCGGCTCAAATGAAAATATCTACTGAAATGCATTTTTTATCTCCGAAAATAATGAAGGAATGAAATATTGTTTTGCACAAAGGAAAATTCCCATGATTTATGTAAGCTATTCATTGTAAATTGAATATTGTATCCGCAAAATACTGTACAGTATATGCGGTAATTAAGCGTTCAGAAAACTCCGATGGTTCTCCAAACGCGCAGAGGCGTCCCATTGATTATAAGTTGGGAGAATTTGGTAACAGTAAACTCACTTGGTTTGCAATTGGAAGAACGATGCAATTTGTCCAAGAGGGGACGACAACCGTGCACCCACTCCTTGAAGGGATGCGTTTTCGCTCGCACTTGTTCTAATAAAGCGGTCATTTCTTCCAATACATAGCGGTACTTGAGAGTTAGCTTTGAAAACGAACACTTGCACATCTTGTCATAGTGCGTGAGACAAACCAGTTTGTTGGGCGCACAAGTACATGCGATAGCAGAGAGGAAAATGGTTGTTTTGCAAAAGTCGCATTGTCGATGATCGTCCGACATGAGTTCAAATATGACCCTTTCGTTCTTTTTGATTCCCTTTTCGAATACCTCCTTCCTCAGAGCAGCTTCCGTGGATCTCATGTAAATAAGATCTTCCAACGTTGCTAAAGCAACAGTCATCGGCAATTCGTTGGCTTCCCCGGCCATCTTGCAAACTAATTCATCCTGGGAGAACACGCACATTCTTTTCTCGTCCCGGTAATGATTCACACTAGCTCGACCTTTGTTTATCCAATCTGGCGGGCAGAAATTGACAGCCTCCGCAAAATTCAGCCCTTGATTGAAGCCGGCATGATAAGCTCGAGGAAACGTAACCACGAACTCTCCAGCATATTGAATGCATCGGAAAAGGGGAACTCCTTTCTCTCTTAGGACCGTTGGACTGAGGAGTGTAACCAGTTGATGCAGGAGATCCGGGGAATTGCGGAATAGGTCTGGTGCGGTTTCCTTCATGGCATCTTCGAATTTTTCCGCCTTATCTCCGGGCACGCCATACCAAGTTTTCGGTTCACCCCTGAATATGTTTCCGAGACGAGGATAAAGATAAATTTAGTCAAGATATTTGGTAACTTAAGCATAATTTAGGTTAATTTAGTCAAGCCCGAGCAACGTTAGCCTCGAAATTTATCGTGCAATGCCGTCTTGATTACAACAATATTTCATAAAATACTCATGCTGATAATGTTGCCGTATTTTCCAACAACACTTATGGCTCATCGAAATAAATATCAGAACACACTTTTGAGCATAACAAAACAAAAGTTACGAATACAACATGAGTTATCAAGAAAATTGTCACGATCAAATGAACACCCAAGTCGCACACTTCACTCACCAGTGCAGATAATTGATAGAGTAACTCCAGTGGTCCTCATTGTGCCAACAGAAGGTCGAAAAGCACATTCCAACATACATCCACGGTACCATCATTCCAGATATATCAGAATTGATGTGCCTCAACACCGATCCTTCAAGCATTGGAAGCTTATTCAGATTCCAGCCGGAATTCACGTAATAATTCCGCAACACGTTATCGTCGACGACTTCTTTTGGAAACCCTGAACCATGCTCGAGCGTGTGTAAATCGGCCCCATACTCTACTTCCACTTCAGTGTCGACAGTTTGAACGATTTTCCAATATTCTTTCTCCACTTCATCCACAGAGATATCCTGAAGAAAGGATTTAATCAACAGATGTTTAATCAACAGTATTCATCACCTCTGAAATTCACAAAATGAGCATGAAGTTGAAAAATCATTCACTCACCGGAATTGATTTAGAAAAATAGTCGATTTTGAATTTGTCAGCCATTCGACCGAAGGATGCAAGTGTATATGGCACCTTCGCCTGATCAAATCCAAAAGTTTCTGGTGGCTTGCTAATCTCAGTTTCAACGCAGGAAGGACACCACCACTCTCCTAAAATATAAATTTTCACATGTGAAAATCGACGATATCACGGAAAACAAAGATCAACACTTCGAACTGTCAGAAGAAAAAACATTCCACGAGCAAAAGATCCTACCTTCTGGAACGCGATCCAATTTCGGCACGAGACAAAAAGTGTGCCAACAACGTTCATCGCACTTGTCACAAAGAAGAAGTTCGTCTTCTCGATTTCCTTCGTCGCAAGCCTCACAGAAAAGATGGGCAACCTGCAAAGAAAATCATTCACGAACACGAACAATTACAAAATTTTCTCAACGAGGAACAAACCGAATCCTTCAGTGCTGGATCTGGAGCCCCCTGTGAAATGAAATACGACTACTGAAACACGACACTCCTGAAATAAAACTGAAATTAAAACTCACTTTGTCACTGGAAACAGACTGCGAGAGAAGACTCATTCGGCCGGCATTTTTCTTGATGCGATTCTCCTGCAATTTATAGAAATTAGTTCGTTGTACACTTCGAAGAAAAATGCACATAGATTACATCGGAAAGTTAAAGTGATCAGTATTCTAAATGATTAAGATGATTAAGACGAAAAATCATGGTGTCAGTGAAAAGAGGAAACACAATCACACGGTGTTTGCTAGCAAACATCAAATCGGGAGATTCCAGACGAAAATGAACGTCACGACTCTCAAACTTGGTTTTTTATTTAGCTTTCGCGACTTACCGATTGCACTCGTTTCCTATCATCAAGAAACTGGTGGTAAGGAGCCAGAACTTGTCTGTACGCCTCTGCCAAGTAGTTAGCTTTTGCCTCCGGATGATTCATCTTCTTGGCAATATTTTTCCACTTCTCCGCTTTACCAACAGCTGAGAAACCCCCTGTTCGTCAACATAATCGTGGAATTATAAATGCAAACGACACAAAATATTCTGAACCGCACCATTTTCTATCACCAGCTTATTTAGTTCGTACAGATCCACAATCGTCGACCCGATCGTCGGTAAGTGCAGTTGCTTCCCGTTAATCTCGAAAAACTTCGCGATCTTGTTGTAAAAATGGATTTTAATTCGAGTCAGCGCCTGAAAATATTAACGTGGCTCAAGATCATAAGATGAACATCCACTACGAAACAAGCGATGGCAGTCACGGCGGCCAGGAAGAATTGATAAAGATTCTCATCGTCTCTATGTACATTCGAGAAACTCACTTCGAGTTCATTAATACGTTGAATTCGGGGAGTGAACTTGAAGTTGACCATGTCCACGGAGAACGGGGGTTGCCAACCCTGCAATAAAAATCAAAATGTTCTCATGACGAATGCCTCTCTTATCTATCTTTCTGTGAAACTCACCTGCGGCGGACGAATTTTGCAAATACCATAAGCTTCCGCGTATGGTCTGATCTTGGCGATGTATACCAAAGGATCTTCATACTCCTCAACAGTTGGCGTGAATACAGGACAGTCAGGAGGAGCGATGAATTCACCAGTCACTTCTCTGGCCATAATTCTCACTCAAAATGCTACGCCGGACTTTCACTTCGATTCATCGTTGGCTGGTAGCTGAAATTGCGAAAATCATTCAGGTCCCTTACTGCATATCAGCGCATTCAAAAATCAACGAGCAGCGCTGCTTTACACAGTTCGACACGCCGTGTTCCCGGAGCAATCGAAAATTTTCAACGCACCAATATTAGATCACAGGGGTGAGCACACAACATAGTACGCGAGAGATGATTCATATCTCAATATTCAGAACACATGTAGCGGATGCCAACGTTATTCGCAGAAGACTAGGACCGCTCCCGAAAATGTGGAGCACCCACGTGCTTGCTTCGTCGTCGCGGTTACTGCGAGCGTCATTCCAGGTGGCCATCATGCAACTTTCCGTGCAAGCAATTTACAATGCGATGAAGACTCGTTTAGAAGGCATTCAGCCATTTATTCTAATGTTCATGTAAATTCTTTCGCAAGAACATACATTCCAACCTTAAAATTACAGAACACGAGCAATGCAAAAACTGGAAAACGGGAATTTACAGAACTGGGAACTAATTCAAAATAGTCCAGCAACCTCTGGGGAACCTAACTTGGGAACTGGGCAGTTAGTTGAACTGTACTGTATATATCCTGTATACATGCAGATCAAAACACAACTATGTCTTACTGTCATCAGGAGAAACAGGAAATGGACAAGGATGGTTCACTGATCAAATACTGTGCGTTTAAACTCGCCTGCGCGCATCGAACTTTCCCCTGGAACGCCTTACCTCTTATGCCATGAAGAGAAAATGCACCAACCCAAATTACTGATACTATTTCAAGATCCTGTATGTCCTGTCCTGACCCAAGGTTATGGTACAACTTCCACTCAACACAGCTCCATTCCAAGCTACCTCTTTAACACCACCCCTAGGAGCACCAGCCTCTCATTGAGTGACTTCAACTGTAATGCTTTAGTGGTGTAAAATGTAAACAGAGACTACAAGGGACAAATAACATAGTGCACATATAAAACACCTTTTTTAAATAACTAAAAATATATGGTACTTTCCTGTTATCTCTGTACCTCATTCCCAGACCACACTACCATCCAGACAAATCTTCTGACAAGTTCATAATCACAATGACCTGCCAGAAACTGTGAATTTTATTTTTCTGCAATCTGCTGAAACTGATGTTGGGAGGCGGTTAGGTAAAGTTAGGTAGGTCAGGTTATGTGAATTAAAATATATATTATATTTGGGAGGCAGTTATAGGTAAAGTTAGGTTAGGTCAGGTTATGTTAATTAAAAGATATTTGTAACTAACATAACATAACCTGACCTAACCTAACTTTACCCAACCACCTCCCAAAATCAGATAAAAATAATTACAATATTTTCTGGTCATGTTTGGAAGTCATTTGCACAAATCAGCAGTAGTGATGGAATACCTTTGTATGTGTTTACCACTTTTGGCAACCACTAAACACTTTTCATAAAATAACAAGAATAAAACATTAAGAATGCTGCAAGTTCATGTATTGAATAGTATGCTATCTTCCTACACCCTTCTTCAACATGTAATTCCTATCTGCAAGCATACGCAGTTCATGAAGTCACTCATTCCTGGCGCTGAGGGAGGGAGTGGAAGGAACAGCCCTTTAGGGGGGGGCAGCTTGGAAGTGAGTTGCATTGAGTTTGAAAGTGTACCATAACATCCGGTCACTGTCACCATCAGCACATACAGTCAACCCCTGTTAGACCGCCCCCCTATAAACCGCCACCCTTGGTTGCCGCCAAAATTTTGTCCCTAACAAATCTGCCTAAGCTTGAAGGGATGGAAAACCCCTGTTAAACTGTCAACCGCCATCCGCCAACATCTTTATCCTGTCAAATAATTGGATTTCCCTATTGTTTTTCTCCCTCTATAAACCGCCATTTTCTTTTTCCTTCCCAGACTTTCCTTTCACCAATATTTTTTTCTTCCCAACCATCCTTTTCTCACCTTTTATTTATTGAAATCCCAACAAGTATTTTCTGGTCATGTTTGGAAGTCATTTGCACAAATCAGCAGTAGTGATGGGATACCTTTGAATGTGTTTACCACTTTTGGCAACCACTAAACACTTCTCATAAAATAACAAGAATAAAAAACATTAAGAATGCTGCAAGTTCATGTATTGAATAGTATGCTATCTTCCTACACCATTCTTCAACATGTAATTCCTAGCTGCAAGCATACACAATTCATGAAGTCACTCATTCGTGGCACTGAGGGAGGGAATGGAAGGAACAGCCCTTTAGGGGGGCAGCATGGAAATGAGTTGCTTTGAGTTTGAAAGTGTACCATAATGTCCGGTCACCATGTCCTGTATAGTATGAAATGAACTTCAGGCTCCAACCCACACCAGCAAGTTTTTTATTTGCAGTTATATAGAGCATGATCGAAGATTGTATAAAATGCAAAGCAGAAGAAGAACCTCTGCTCAGAAATGAAAATTTACTTGAATGTGCTACCATATTTTTTTTCAATATGTATGGATACGCAAGTCTGCAGCCGTCATTGAGCCAGTCTGCAAGGTTTTGACATGGGGACTTTGTTTCAACCACCATCAAGGTCATTGCTAAGCGCACACCAATCATATATTCATCAAAGGCCCATCACTGTATACCTCGTATTATACACAGAAGTTTTAAATGCAGCAAAGAATATAGGTATAGTGATTACAGTTCATGCATTATATCGTAAACTGGTACAGACAGATTGCTATAGTGATGGAGACGTTCAGCATTGCTGAGCATTTATTTTCATCTTCGCTTTATGTTTATGTTCACCGCAATTAATATAATTGAACTTCAATGACGGTGATGGGCTGTTTTTAAGCCTGGTGCGGAATTTAAACCTTATAAATGTATAACCTATATAGCTTGCGCCTATGCATTGCTGATGAAGATCAGTAACAACGTGAACTCACTCTTTGCCCCTGTCCCGGTGTTCTGGCAAGGGAGTGAATTAGGGGGAGAGGGTGGTGATGCAGTACAGTATTGCAGTCCTGTGTGTCAGCATCCCTATATACAGTACATACAGCTCTGTCTGGCTGTCTCTTTCGTACGCTGATTGTGTGGGAGAAGTGTGAGTGTTCTGGATCCATCTTTTTTTTTACTTGAACAGAAAGGTGGTGTTGCACACCAGCGTGTCTTTCATCGAAACTTTTCAGTTGAATTCGAAGTACGTGAAACCGGCCATTGCAGAATAAGTTATTTACGGGTACGTGCGTATATATAGCATATGTTCGTCGTCGCTTGGAAATATAATACAGAAGGATATGAGGTTCTATTTATCTTATATACTGTACATATGAGCTGAGATTCCGAAATTTCCAAATCTTTCCGATTGAGGTAGCGTGACGTCATCCTAGCTCGTTTATAGCTGCTGGTGATGGAAGCTGCGCTTCTTCGCTTATGGAGTTTTGAAACTATATACAGTTTGCGCATCTGTGGTTATTCATTTTCGAGCCGAGAGTTTGGTAATTTTCAACACTTTGCTTGGGACTTTTAGAAGATGTGGCGGGGGCTTTATACACTGTATCTATATATTTAATAGCTTGCGGAGTACAGAATATATACATACTGTGAACAGCAGCAGCGTATAAGGTACGCTGTATGTTCAAGCCCTGCAACGTACTCTAATCATTGAGCAGTATAGTGTTTAGTGTGCGTTCTTCCAAGCAGCAGGCTGTTCAAAGTGCGATAAATATATGTAATGTGCCCTCCAAATCTGAAATTGTTATCATTATATAATTTATCATTATATGCATATGCGGTAGAGTTGGTTTCATCTCATGAACTTACGGTATACAAGGGTTAGTTTGTTAAAGATATGATATAAACAGCCAAATGCCATCATCGGAGGCGGATGCAATTTTTTCTTTTGTTCCTCAATCCTTCATTGGTGTCTAATAAATGTTTCATCCACTACTCAGCTGCAGATGGAAACAAGAAGAAGGCCTCACAGTCAATGTTCTCCACTGAAGTGAAGTTTAGTGGATCAATATTGATTGCAGAGCATGCAAGTGCGCAGCTCCTCTTGATCCATTCAACTTCACTTCAGTGGAGAGCATTGACTGTGAGGTCTTTTCCTTGTTTCCATCTGTAGCTGAGCCGAGGATGAAACATTTATTAGACACAAATGAAGGATTGAGGAGCAAAATAAAAAATTGCATCCGCCTCCATAAATGATGGCATTTGGCCAATTGGCTGTTCATCATCTTCTATGAACCATCCCTCGTACTGTAATATGCTGAGTATACCGCAATACTTTTTTAAACATCATGAAGTAAACAGTATACCACTGGATAGTTTGTTCCTATATGCTATATAGATGATGCTAGATTAGCATCAGTTATATAGACTGGCGGTATAAAATTTTTTTTATCACAAACCGTTTTAGCGCGAAGGCCGTACAAACAATAAAAATTGAAATATGCTGTATTGATAATTCCTCCCGCGGTGATGATGATGTTGGAGATTTGATTTTTTTGGGATGAGTTTCGCAATAATAATGTGGCAACAAATTGGAAAAACTAGATTCATACTTTTGCTATTTTAAAATGTTCTGATATTCATCTAATCTAAGCATTTAAGCGTGAGCAAGCAGAAATCCGAAAGTGCTGCTGACGATGCTTTTGAGCATATAATACTGTTATACACCGTATATGCAGTATATACAGCTACAAACTATATGCAGTATTAATAAATGAGATACTGTATGTATCACTACAGAAGGGAAGTGTGATATCTGAACCACTTTGGAAATATTGAACCTCTTTAAGTTTTATTTCAAGGGAGGAGCAAAAAAAATTGTGCTAGAGAAATATTCATATTGTAGGGTTATATTGAAAGAAGAATTGCAGGAAATTCTAATTGGTGATTTTTTCTTGGCATTAAATTACTGTACAATATTTTCAAATGAGTTGACACCTTGCTTAACATGGAGGCAAGGGTTCATCTGCCCAATTAATTTTTCACTTTCTTTCAAAGCTCATCAAGTTACAGGTTTATTGATCTTCGTGGCGTCCAGAAAATTTGAGACATTGACACAAACGCAGCAACACAGCTGTAAACACATCATGCATGTCAAATCCTGTCGGCCATCCTTCTTGGACTGCATCGTGTTGATGGGGTGGGGCTTTGTTATTGTAGCCTTGATAACCAGTAGCTTCCGGAAAATGAAGTCGGTGACCCCCTCGGAGATGGATCATCACCAGCAGCATCCCAAGCTGGTGACTTGGCCGAAGGTAGTTCTTTTTGGAGATTCTTTGACTCAATATTCAATGAATCCGAATCACGGATGGGCAACGATCTTGGCCCATTCCTTGCAACGTCGGTGCGACGTGATTGTGCGCGGGTTCTCCGGCTATAACACCGTCTATGCCCGCCATTTGCTGCCGCGGATTGCCAACACCTTCGATGACCCGGTTGCAGCTGTCGTCATTCTCTTGGGTGAGATGTCATATAGGTATGCTTTGGTTCAGGTTTCGCGTAAATGATGGAAATTGCAGTACATTTCATTGTCTGACTTTATAAAATCGGAGTTGGTTTACAATTATGATCTGTGTCTGAGTGCCGACAAATATTTCCCAGAAAAGAAACGTACATATTTCAGAGGGGATCATATCTCATCGTAAAAAACTTCTACCTGATGTGTATCAAAAGACTTTAAAATATTTTTGTTTCGGAAAAATGTGTCACGTCGATTACATGGATCTTCGTGAAAAGTGTGACACTTATTTTTCTGGAATTAGAGGTTCATTCCTTCATACAGACTTGGTTGGTTTTTGATGAATAAATCAGAAAATTCTCAAAACAAAACAAAATCAACAACGATTTCAAGCAATATAGCTAAAAATTCCAAGCAAAATACCTAAATCAAGCAAAATAATGTTAAGCTAAAAAAAATTGTTTATTTTTGAGATCCATATAACCCGTAAAAGTCCCCTGAATAAGGATTGTGGTTAGGAAATGGTAAAATATTTTCAGATCTTTCGAAACTTCCATCATGCGCTGAAATCTGTAACCAGCACGATTGCTTATTTCGGGATATTTCGCGTTATATATTCTATTTCCTTATAGCCTATCCGAGTTTTAATCCTGGTAAGTCCCCCATTTCACCAAATCCCTTTATTTGATGAAGAAAAAAATTTCCCAAAGACGATATGCGTCAATCTAATTTCTTCTCAATCTTCCCCATCGACCGCAAATAAAGTCATTGTATGGCACCATGTTTCACAAACATTGCACAAATATTCCATGACTACTGTATGTTGATTATACGCTGTCCAAAATAATATAAACGTTTTTTTACAAGGTATGAAAATGTGTGGTTTTCGTTTGATCTGAATTAATTTTCAATGCTGAAAATAGCGAACACATTCCTGGAAAAAATTAGCGGGAAAGTTGGAAACCGCAATTTCCGTCATTAATCGACGCTCAAATTTATTTCGAAGGAGATGAATCGAATGGCGACTTTCCAAGCAAAAAAATTAATTAATACATAACGTCAACCACAAGTTATTTTTTTTACGCGAAACATTCCATTCCGGAGACAATTATGACGTAAAAGATCACCGCGGAAATTTTCTGAAAAACGAGTTATGCGCGAGAATATTAATCCCTTCCGTTTGTGGTAAATGCGGGTTTATTGCCCAATAATTTTGCGATTGATGCAGTCTTCAACGATGCAATGACGAATTTTCTTTTTTATTGACGGTATATATATAAGAACTTGTCAATAAAGAATCCGTTCGTGTGTCATGCAGGTACCAATGACGCTGCTGACGCGGTTCAAAACGTCAGGCTGCATGTTCCCTTGGAAGGGTACAGAAAAAATCTGGCCTGGATGGTGAAGTTCATGCAGGTGAGAACCATGCAGGATTTGAAAGCATTTTGCTATTTCTGGTTTATATATCGGACTTGATCTTAATACAATATGAGAATTTAAATGCAGGATTATATCACCATTTTTAGGATAAAGGAGTTTCTCGGGAGAAGATCATCTTAATGAGTCCTCCAGCGGCTGACGTGAAGAAACGGCAAACTGAAGCATACGCTCGGGTTTGCGAAGAAGTAGCCCATGGTGCCAACATCAGTAGCATCAACCTTTGCAAGCTGATGCAGGACAAATTTAAAAATGTGAGCGATTCTTTTCCATCATTCATATGGCACAGTATATACACATATGTACATATAATGGTTGTACCAGTTGGCTGAAATATCATATATTTTTAAAAGTAGGTATGATTGTAAAAACAAAATCATGAAATAGCCGATGATGTCCTCTAAGTTTCTGGGAATCTTCGGATTTTAACATTTTTTGCTATACACTGCATGCTAAAAATTGAAATTTTATTTGTTTTAACCATTATTTAGAATTTAGAAAAGTTAATGCTGGACAAAACGAAAATTTCAATATTTTAGCTGGCCAGACGCATTTCAAAACCCAGTGATCGGGGTTGAGAACTCTGGCTGTAACTAGAAAGTTTTCATCGATCATCATGCACTAAAGTGAAGAACTCCGTTAAATAAAATTTTAAAAACCCAGCACCTCCGAACATCATGGGCTATGCCATGAGTCTTTTTCAATGATCACCACGACTCCGAAAACATTAAGAGGTTGCGTCAAACTGGGACAACCCTTGTATATATTGCATTTGCATGCATCACACCAAAATATTTTGAAAACTCACGTCTTGTAAAACTCTCTCTATATGCAGGGTTCTTGGACGAAATTGCTGGTAGACGGGATTCATTTTTCTGCTGAAGGGAATATTTTTGTCGCCAAGGAACTTTTACCATTAGTGAAACATAGAATGAATTTGCATGAAGAGCTTTTCCCATCGTGGAATGCTTTGAGGCCAGGTGACCCATAGGGTTTGATCGATTCATGGACTCCTCTCAAGCCCTATCATTCCTAGTATTCCACATCGGATTTGCTTTGAACTATGAACTATGCTGCACGGGGTTGTTGCATTTACAGCATTTTTGCATATTGTCCTTGCTGTTGATGAGACTTGAGCTGAGCGTCAAACACGTTGATTGTTTTTACACTGGAGTTGAACAGCTTGAAGTGAAATTTGATGAGATTTTTGATGAATGGAGTTTTTGAGTTACATTTGGGTGGGTTATTCAATGAAAATTTTCTGGTCATATGATTGCAATTGTTCATTCTTCATAAAGGTTCTTTACAAGCAGCAGAAAGATGCTCGTCAATCCCTTTTGGATAGAGCGTAAAAATTACTCGCAGCCGTTTTTTTTTCTGAAATGTAGCCCCAATTTAATGGCAAAAAGGCCTTGGAATTAATGAAGAATTGCTCCAACACGTTTTGAGTTGAAAAAAGCCTCCCATTGGACTTGAGGGAATCAGCCAGGGATTAACTGCTGGGAGTTAGAATGAAGGAGATTTTTATTTTACTTATAGAGAGGTTTGACTCGGCAAGGGCCGACTGTTCATCCCGAGGAAAAGTACAGAAGAAAAGTTTTGGGAAGATGCAACAAAACTTAGGATTCTGCTGCGGTTTGCATGAAAATTTAAATAACTTGGTTGGGACTGTATGCTGCACGCACGGTCTTCTAGTTCCAGTTTTCACTGTTTTTATTTTATTTAATGGGGTACGAAATTCCAAATTTCATTTCGGAGAAGACACCTAAGGCAAGAAGAGCTTGCGTTTAACCGATTCTTTGAGAAATATTCCCAAACCCTGTTCAAGATGCAATTCTCCCAATGCTTGCTTTTGTTTCCTACTTGCTCAATTTTTGTTGTTGCTGAAATTTCATGTGTGTCCACGTGTCCAAAATAAAATGCTCCACCGTTGTCGATGAACTTTTTTTTTCGGACGAAAAATCCCGACTTTATTCTCTTCTAAAATAAGCAATACAGTAATTTGAACTTTTTAATGCCAAAAATTGAAATTCCCGTATGGCTTTTCAGTTTTCAACGAGGTTGGAATGGAAAAAGGTTTTAATTTTTTCAGATAATGATGTTGTCTTCATACAGTTGGAAAGATTTATAAAGTTTTATGGCTGTATTGGTCAAAGCAATGTCCAAGGTTCTTTTTTAATTTAAAGAGGTTGCTGGGAAAAATTTACTAATACACACTACCAATTTATAGGCGGATCTACCTGGCTGACAACAGCCGTAATATTTCGATTTAAGCAAGGGAGAAATGAAACTCAAGCCCAGTTTTGCTACTGACAAATGCTTCCAATGGCTCACTCCTTCTGTTATTTGCCTTTTTTCCTAGGTGGCATCTAAATTGTTACAGGATGCGGTAATTTCTCGGTCAATTTCAATTCCTGCTGGATTTTACGATATTTAACTTAGTTGAAAATCGCCTTTGACCCATATAAACAATGCTGAGTATACAATTTGATTTCCCTCATCGCTTGTAATGCAGAATAGATAATAATGAAAATGGGAACAACCATTTTCATAAATCCGATGACTTGCACCGTCACTTGTACAGCACTGTACTGGCTTCTTCCAGAACAACACTGAATTAAATTCAGAACACGGTGCATAAAAATCGAGGTAATCGAGTCCCTCTTTAACCTGAACTACTCTTCGTGACATACTTCCCTCAAAATGATGAAATGGAGCCTCATTGGTTTTGATGGAAAAATCATTATGTTGACGGAGACCAAAAAATGCATCTTCGAAGGATGACTACGATAGATGACAGGCACAATCCTCAACAAATTTCGTATCCATTCCTTGACTGAAAAAATACTGTACAGTAGTTTTAATTCCTAAACATTAAATCAATAAATACGATTGATGGACGAGACGTGTAAAGGTCAACTAACAAGCCTAACTAAAACCATATGATACAGAATTCCCATACATAAAAGAAGAAATATTTAGAAAAATGCAAAAAGTTTCATCAGATGTAAGACGAACTCTCATGATGAAATATTACGGGGAGGGGGCAGTTTTCAAATACAGCTGTCGCATTCGCAAAAAAGGTGTAGTGCGATTACATTCAAAGATGCCAAAAACTGTTCATAAAGTTAGCTGGTTCGCAGTCAACAGAAAAAGGTACGTGACTTGTCTAATTTATCAAAATGGTTCAAGTATACACGTAACTGGATATGCACAAAAATGTAAAACAAGACGGGTCTAAATCCGATGTGATCACAATTCTCGAGCACTTCTGTCACGAAAAACTTTTCAAACGTGACATAAAGCAGAATTTCTCCGACAAATGGAACTTCAGGAAGCTCATGCATAGCAACATAGGCATGAAGTTGCACATTATCCAAGGCCAGTAGAAGTTGATTCAAAATGTGTTAGTAGCAGAAGTTTCACACTTCTGGCTTGTTGTATGATGACATTCGCAGAGCTAAACTAAAAAATTTCTTGACATTCCCTTCATGTTTTTTTTAACTCGGGGTAGTGCAAGACTTTTCAACCGTTTCGCAGCAATTTCCTTCTTTGAGTTCTAAATCACCCCACCGAACTCCCTCATAGTTTCAGAGTCCACACGACTCTGAAATTATACGCCGTTTGCCGATCGGAAAAGAACTGAGGAGGAATCAAAACTATCGCACTAGCTCAAATTTAATGAGTAAATTTCATTTCATCTCAGAAAAATACGTCGGCCCGTAAAACAAAACACGCCATCGGAATCTATAGCTAATGATCCGGGAGATTGAGATTTCAACATTTCATAATTAAAGAGGATGCAGGGACTTGCAGAACAATTGACTGCAACACCAACTTCTCCGCGAAAAAAGGATAAAAAAGGAGGAAAAAAGAGCACGGGAAAGATCTTCTGAAGCACCTACACCTTACTAAAAAGCAAAATTCCCCATCACTTCCTCCAAGGTCAGCCACGAACGTAACGACCTCGTATGACACGACAGGGCAAGAGAATGACGCATAACCAAGAGACCAGAAGTACCGCCTGCCTTTCATCAGACTCGCGAAGACTCCCTCAAGGCATACTTGATGATCACGACGCCTATGGCGAGTCCTACCACGGCCAACACATTTTGAAGCATGCCGAGGAATCCAGAATCGGTTTTAGATTTCTCGCTAGGTTTCTGCCAAGAATTTGGTGACGAGAGACCCGCAGCTTCGGTCTTATCGCTTTTCCGTAAGGTTTCTCTCATTTCCTTTCAGGAAAAAATAGAATAGAAAAAGTTATCAAAAATGGAAAATTTTCACTCTTATGTTGTCTTTACGCGATCTTGACCGTCCTTCCCTTGCCAAAAAAACAGCCTAGAATGGAGATATTATACTTCTTTATAAGCCGCAGAGCATTCATATGTTTTCGTCCTATCTTTGAAACTTAGCGACATGCAAGTTATTCATTTGAAGTTTAGGCAATCTAAAATGACATAAAATAATTCAATTCATATATTGGTTGTTCATTTACAACCAAAAACGTCTATTATTCTCTCATTTACGGGATATACAGCATTCACTAAGGAAAATTAGTTGGCTTTTCCGGCGCACAGGTCGCGAGTTTCTTCAAAATATTCAAATTTACATAGTCTAACTCAGCCCAACATCTCAGTACGTCTTACAATCGAGTAAATACGAATAGTGTGACTCACCTCTACACAATCTGGGAAAAGTTCTAGGAAAACCTTGTCGGCGAGGTTGAACTCAAGGCTTTGATGGGCCAAATCTGCCTTTTCCTTGTCGGACGTTTCCACACTACCCAGCGTATAGCTGCTTTCCAACTATAAATACAAATGATATTAAATTTCTCTATTAATCGAACATTTGCGATAGTTGCATAATGAGGACTGTTCAGAATATCGCGTTTATAGGTCGCACATTCCCTCTGGAAGTAGGCCGAAATAAACTCAGAGGGAAAAAATATTCGAGATATCTTGAAAAAAATCAGAATAATTCTGCTTTAGAAAGAGCATTCAAGACTTTCTTAGTTTTTCCTGGCGATTTTTACCAAAACATGTAGTCGTCAGAAAATTAAAAAATATCACTACGACACTTAGCAGGATTAATACAATTATTGTCTTAGGAAAAAAATCAGCGGAATTTCCATCTCGCAAAGCTTCAACAATATGCGGCCAAGAATCGGATGAAATACGGCGATTTAGTCTCTGATTCAATCTGACCATGAAGCTGAGTAGGCCGGTGAGAATCGTGGAAACGCTCCAGGCAGGGTTCCAGAGGTCCGGATGGAAGTCGGAGATGGACAGACAGAGCCGCACGTTTGTCTTAAAACGGCCATTGGGTGTGATCATGTAGATCCGCGGCGGCTTGTATGGGTACTCAGCCGGGAACACTAGCTTGCCGTGGTAGTATCCGCCCTGGTACAGAGACTGTTCTGGGCCTCGAATCACGTAATGCCTGTTTCACGAACAGAAGGACACGGGTGAACGCACATCTCCGACATCAAATCTACCAATGTTCTTTCTTTACCATTCAAGAATGTTGTGCGGCAACGGCTCGGCTGTCACGTACGGCACAGGGTCGGCCTTGATTCGCAGGTAGTCCTGCCGGAGCCGCGAAGTCGCAGTCGACTTGCCCACCATTTTTTCACTTACTCTGGCATCACAACACCGGCGTCACGCAAATGTCCCCTGTATACGATGCAATCAATATATCACTCACTCCGTGATCATGCCTCATCCAACCCCGACCACGCAAAGGCAACAATTCGAAGAAAATGAAAAATACACGCACACGACTGAACACACGGACCGCACCTCAAATATCAAGCCAAACATGTCATTCTCTATTTTTTTCGCGATTTTCGTCGACCACTGCCGTTGTTCCGGTTCCCATGATGTTTGGTCTTGGAAACTTCGCTGTCTTCATCTCTGGTACCGATAGCGCTTCCTTTTGTTTCTTCAAATTGCTGGTTTTCCTCATCGCCATCCGCTGGTGTGACTTCCTCATCTTCGAGCGGTACACAGGGCATCTTGGACAGCCACTGAACAGCGTTTTCCACATTGTCCTGAATTAAGTAATCGGGATATTCTTCCGAAGCCAGGATTGCCTGCTTCACAGCAAGTACTTCGCGGGCAGAACTCGCCTTTATCCACACTCTGCCGTTCATTCCAACTGTAACTTCAAACTTGATGCCCTTCTGCGCCAATAACGACAGGAGTGGATATTTTGAGTGCAACAATCTGTTTAAACGCATATGAAAAGGTTAGGGTTATCCTTCTGATAACTTGAAAACCGGATGCTCACCGTCGACTAGTATGTACTGCAGTTGCAAACATGTGGCCGCCTTGTAACACGCCCATGCAGTTCTTTTTACCACCAGCGTCAATGCACGCCATTTCAGGTTCAGAGTCGCTAGAGGCACTGATAAGTCTTCCGAACACAACATCCCCGATCTGAGTGAGTAAAGCTTCGCACTGTTTGTTCACCACACGGAAAAACTACACACGCATGGAATTTACCTCAACGTTTGGTCGATTCTTTTTCGTTGCACTCTCAAATGCCAAGTACGACAGGTTTGCCTTAAAACTTCCGCCGATGTCAACGGAGTAGTCATCTCCTGCTTTACCCCGAATCACACCGAGAACATATTCTCCTTTCGACGGAACATACTGTCAAAGAATGCATGATTAATTAAAGCACTTGGCTTCCAAAAGCTATACGAGGAATTACCTCATTTTGCAAAAAGTCAACGTAATACGTGATGGTTCCAAAACGACGGAAGATGCCAGCTCTATCACAAACGACTGAGCCATCGTTTTGCAGAACAAGTCCCGGACCAATGCAGGATACCTTTTCCGTGTTTTGGCGCAATACTACGTCACCAGGGAGAACAACACTTTCCAATTCAACAAGAGGTTCAGCCATCGCATGAATTGCCTGGTAATGTAAAAAAAAACCCCCACTTTAAGGATGGCACACAGGCGGTCACCACGTGAATTCCGCGCGCGTAAATTCAGGACGAATACGCACTCTATACCCGCCTGGTCTTTAAATATCACTCAATTCCACAGGAACTCTAACTCTGACTTACAACTCAACACATGTCGATCTCTTCGTTACTCAATCATCCATTTGTTGAATGATCCTAGTTCCAGCTTTGCCAGAAATCCAAGAGCAAAGTGGTGGCAGTTGTCCCCTGATCGGTGAAAGCCACCTGTCGAATAGGCTAGGAGCCTGCCAAACTTAACCCAGAATTTTACGCTAGGTACATTGGACAGACCGCTGTTGTGTATAAAGTACAGTAGATGTCAGTGCAATTCATGACTTCCAGACTGACAGCCCTTGAATTTCTGCTCCGGTGTGGCAGTCCGGAGCGTCCGCCGTCCGGACCGTCCGGCCGGACAGTCCCGCCTAGTCGGGACCGTCCGGTCGGACATTCCTGCCGCCGTCAGGACTGTCCGGGCCCCAGTCAGGAGCGTCCTGCCCCCAGTCAGGAGCGTCTGGTCCCCAGTCCGGGATGTCAGGGGATAAAAAAAAATCTCTGAAGCTTCTGCTGCCCAGATATGCTGTTCAGCAGTATACAAAACATTTTCACAAACTATCAAGAAAGCATGAAGTGTGTACAGCAGCAAAAACACTCTAATTTAGTTTTATTAAAATGTCCCTAAAAACAGAAAAAACTTGGTTGAAGTGGTTTCCTGGATTTTCACATATTCCTGGTAAATATGTGGGTTCTTTGACCTTTTTCACTTCAGGGTATCTAAAGAATAAAAAATATAGGAAAACAAGCAAAATTCAGTGCATCAAAAATATGGCTCAAATGCATTGTTTTGAAAATTTCTCATAAAGATAATTTTTTATAATTTCTAAAACAGGTCAAATTCCATTATAACTAATAGTGTTATAACAAAAATTTTTGAAGGTCCTGACAGAAACACTGTTGACAATGTTAATGTAATCTCATAACAAATTTTGAAGATTCTGGATAGCAAATTGATTTTTAGGCAATTTTTATTTATTTAACCTTATATTTCACTAAATTTTTAAGCTTATTGCTCAAAAGTTTTCATTCTGTTTATGAATGCAACAACATGAATTTTCTCCTTCTGCTGTAATAAATTATCAATTCTGCAAGAATACTACTATTTACTCTGAAATTGTAAGTTGAAATTGTCACAAATTTTCCATTAAAATGGATTTTTTCTAAGGTCCCCAGAAGTTTGTTTTAGCAGAATTTAATCTGTATCAATGGTTTCAAGGAAAAATTGCTGGGACCATTCAAAAAATTTGTTGAAACAAAAACCTGTTATAACCAGATTCATTTTAGCAATATGTTCAACTGCATTTCTTGTACTGAATTGATATTTTAAAAATAAAAAATTATTACTGGTAATTCAACTGGTTGTTCAGCATCATGTAGGAAGCTGCTGTATGTTGGAGCACCCTCTTTTCATTATTGTTCTGCACTTCCTTGTGGTACCTTCCTTCTTCCAAATAGAGGATGATCTTTTTACACAGTTGTTCATATCCTTTTGCAGCCATTTATAATAATTAAGTTGA